GAGCATTCTAGCTCAAAAATTGGATTTTTAAAAAATCAAAAACAACAGGTCCTAATAATGACGTTTTTTAAAAATATTTTTTGACATTTGTCTAAGGGGTAACTCATCAAAGTAGAGCCCTCTGGGCGAAAATTTCGTCCGTTTGGCTCTATCTTTAACCATTTAGGCAGGACAGGGAGTTTTTGACGAAAATAAGCGAAAAGATGTACAACCTTGCATTCTTAGTCGAAGTGACGTGAAGTTGACGGGCCGAAGGCCCGTATCTTTGTGTACATTTTCGCGCTTCCCGACTCGGATGTCAGCGCCGCAGGCCTAGGTAGATGTACGCCAGGCGCGTCGCAGCGAAACAGTGTTTCGTGAGATATCGCGAAGCCTGTTACGCGAGACGTGGTCTGGCGTACATCTACCTAGTTTTAACACTCATGTCTTGGACCCGTTTGTGGACTTATTGGACCGTCTGGCGTACATCTACCTAGTTTTAACACTCATGTCACTTACAGAAAGTAACCCGACCTAAACTCGAAAAGATCCAGTAGTGACCAGGCATAGTACGCAAGAACTTCGACGTCGTATTCCTTCATTGTGCGCACGAGGGAACGAAGATTTGCCTGAAAAACAAGTCGACATTATTGAAAATGAACGTGGTAGATGTACGCCAGACGACGTCTCGCGACAGCTCACGAAATATTAGTACGCAGCGACGCCTCTGGCGCATTTATACCTTGACCTACGGCGCTGACAGCCTACTTGGGTAGGAGATATAGTAAGAGGTAGAGAGGCCTTCGTTCTCCAATACAGTCACTGTCAGTGACAAAAGATTTTAAAGCACGCCATGCGTGCTAACAATGACGTAATCAATAGACAGATCGAGCTCGAAGATGAGCATTATAGCTCCAAAATTGACTTTTTTAAAACCATACCACTCAGAACATTAGTTTTTAAATTTATTACAGGATATTTCACCCAGTTTAAACCGGATCCAAAGAAAAACATTAATGCTTGCTGAACTGTCTCCTCCCTGTCGCTTATTGGCTGATGCGGACGAGGTTCGCGGACCCGCCACCAGGTCTGCGACTACCGGCGACCACCCTAGTGGCGAGTCCGCAAACTTCGTCCGCGTCAGCCAATGAGCGTCAGGGAGGAAACAGTACGGGAAGCATTATCGTTCTTCGTTGGAACCGGTTTCAACTGAGTGGAATATATTAATGGTGCCTGATAGGTCTCGAGGGCAAACATTTCGTCCGTTTTTCTCTAACTTGTGCCGTTTACGCTCTAGAGAGCATTTGTTGACGCAGCCTACCGGAGCTCTAAAAAGAGAAGCATGACTGTCCGGTCTGTTTCCAAATCGCTGATAGGTCAACCATTTTTTTTTCCGTAATGGCTCTGATTGGACGAGCTCATCACGAGCCTTTACGTACTTTCAGGGATGAGAAACTGTCAGATCAGTTTTGAACTCCCCTCCACATTTGAGAGGTTAGGGTGGGACCCAACTACCATAATAGTTTCTTAAACTGAACGGGCGGAAACAGATAAATCAGTGAGTTTGTTCTTTTTCAGTTCCGTTTTAGATAGCCTGGAACACCCTATTGTAAGTAAAACGCAAACCACATATTTGGCGTGACACTTCACCCTCCTTGAGGCTCTTGGTGCCCTACATACCGGTACCTCCTATCAATATGCGCTTATAATTCATTAGGCTAAACGTAACCGCTCATCAAATCGGGTTCTAAACAAAACCGCTTACCTGCGCGGGTCCTACACAGTACCGCTCATCTGCTCGCGGCCGGGGCCCTGGTTAGGTTAGGTTGCCCCTCGTATTTACTATAATATCACCCAATACCGGAGGCTTTTACGGGTTAAAGCAGTTAAAATACGGTGTTCTAGTACAGACGAGAGAGTATGTTACAGTTTTTGTTTCTAAATTGAAGCACACCGCCAAGAAACATCCATTGAAATCTGGGAATCACCCGCCCGTATTTCAGAAAGATAAGCGGTTCTGTGTAGGACCCGTGCAGATGAGCGGTTCTGTTTAGAGCCCTTAGTAATGAGCGGGTCTGAGTTGACTAAAAACAAATAAGCGCATATTGATAGGAGGTACCGATACATCTTCTATTGCTAAAACGTTGATTTTTACATAAGGATCCGACAAAATAAGAACTTTTAAAGAATGCCTTTGACGAACATCAGAAGTCTCATTTCAATAACTTTTGAGTTATAAAAGTCCTGAAAAGATGCTGTTAGCATGTAAAATATAGCATTCCAGTCAAGCTGAAATGCAGAAGAATGCGGGGAACAAGAAAACGGAAGTCACCATGTTAAAGCATAGCGATTTCCATTTTCTTGTTCCTCGCATTCTTCTGCATTTCAGCTTTATCGGAATGCTTTCTGGTGGAGCCGCAAGGCTCTACTTCCGTTTATTCTCATACGCTCTCATATTACCTTGCCTCGGGTGTCAGCGCCGCAGGCCTTTTTCCGTGAGATATCGCGAAGCCTGTTACGCGAGACGTGGTCTGCCCCACATGTACCAGGTGGCTGATTCACGCCGCGCACTTTCGTAGTTATACTGTACCGCATGCACGCGTGCGGGCGGATTGCCTACCCGCACGGGAGTAGTATATAGGGCCCCTGGTTAGGGCACCTGGTCGCGGTGGGTGGAGTGGGGGGGGAGAGGGCTCTCGGTTGCGGTCCCTGGGTCTCGTCTTGTGGAACGGAGTATAGCCAACAAAAAGTCCCGCCGTTGGGTGGATTCGAACCTCTGGCCTCTGGGTTGGGAGTCGGGTCCCCTAACCCCTAGACTGCCGGTTCGGCGTTGAAGGGATCGAGTCGGGACGGAGTGTTATGGCCCTGTCGGAGCGGGGGACTGCGCTGCTCGCCACGGCCAGCAGGGTCCCTGGTTGCGGTCGGGTGGGGGGGGGCTGTCGGCCCCGCCTTCGCTCGGCTCGGGCAGCTGGCGCGCTCGCCCCCTTGCTTCGCTTGCTGGAGCTGCTCGGTGCGGCTCGGGCGGCTGGCGCTGCTCGGCGCGGCTCGGGCGGTGGCGCGAAAATTTGAAATGAGCGCAAAGTTTTAATTTAATGAATGAATGAAATGAGTCAATGCAGTGCTTGTGATGGGTGTGGATTGTCATATAATTATAATGAACCGTTAAATAATATAAGATCGACCCAGTTTTTTTCTGTTTTTTTTTTTT